AACACTTTTGGGGCCCAAGTGGTCCGCTTCCAGACTAGGTCCGACTATCTCATTTGGATCGGTAACGTGGACTGCGAATCGGGGTACGAACACTGTCGCGCGCAGGCCCAGTACACGCGGAACAATGGGCGTGATTGGCAATTGGTGGAGGATTACGTCGTCAACTGCGACTGGGCGCGCGACGAGGAGCTGCGGATAGAATCATCTCAGATCCTATGCGAGTCGTATGCGGACAAACAGGGATCGCAGGTGTTTTTTGGGAAAGACAATGCGTTGCAGCTTGTGTCTGGGACAGACTATTATGCGAAGAAGACGAAGCTGTTTGACCATGTGGTGGGGTTCACCAAGTTCTCAGAGTTCTTGATCGTGGCGGAGGTGAGTTTTTTGTTGTTGTCTTGTGTGTGCGCTGTTAATTGGTTGTGTGTTTGTAGTACCTCCCGATGAGGGGCACGCTTAACCTTCAGGTCTCACTTGATGGACAGACGTTTGCTTCTGGGAGCTTCCCTCCTGGCATGCATCCAGACTCTCACGTAGGCAGAATTGCCCTAACTCTAAAAACGCTGGAATTGCTCATGATGTTTTCTAGGCATACACTGTCCTCGAGTCAAGCACTAAAGCCATCTTCTTACACATGACCATGAACGAGTCGCCAACGCCATGGGGCAACATCCTCAAATCTAACTCCAACGGAACTTACTTTGGAGTGTCCGTTGAGAACGTGAACAGGAACAACGCCGGTTTCGTCGACTTTGAGAAATTCGTGGGGCTGGATGGCATTGCGATGGTCAACGTGGTGGCCAACCCTACGGAGGCTGCGCTTACGGGGCATAAGACTCTACAGACAAGGATCACGCATAATGACGGTACGCTTTATTTGCTGAATATCTTTTGCCTCTCGGTGACGGTTGCTTGTTATGTCAGGTGGCACTTGGAAACCGCTTCTACCCCCCTCAGTGGATTCGCTAGGTCTGAGGTACCCTTGTACAACAGTGGTATATCATGCTTTTGTGCGCGTCGCTGTCAGTGGACTGATTTTATCGTGTTTAGGGCTGTGCGCTCCACGTTCACGGATATACAGAACGCTTCGACGCCCGGGCAACATACAGCAGTCCCATCCGTCGTCGGCGTGGTGATGGCAGTCGGGAACGTGGGTAATTCACTCGCCACCTACACCGAGAGCGATACCTTCCTGTCCCGGGATGGCGGGTTCACATGGGAAGAAGTGCACAAGGACGCACATCTGTGGGAGTTCGGCGACTCAGGGTCTGTCATCGTGATCGTGAACGACGAGGAGCCGACGGACCACGTCTTGTTCACCACAGACGAAGGACTCAATTGGCGAGAATTCAAGTTCACAACCGAGAAGATCAGAGTGAGGGACATCATGACAGTGCCGGATGATACAAGCCGGAAGTTTATGCTCCTGGGTCGGTTTTCCACGGGTGGCTCGGTGCTCATTCACTTGGATTTCTCGTCTCTCACCCATAGAAAATGTGAGTAGGTGCTCGTGCTCGATGATTAATCTTGAATTCATTTTTCCAGGCGTCGTGGATGTGGAAAATCCTGGACACGATGACTTTGAGCTGTGGAGCCCCAGCGAGGAAAGAGACTCACTTTGCCTGTTCGGACGACAGGCAAGTATATCTGAATTTAGTTTTTCCTTTGTCGCTTACGTCATCATATCATGTACAGACACTCTACCATCGCCGCAAAAGAGATGTGAACTGCGTTGTTGGAGACACGCCTAAGGCACTAGACAACATCATGCGGAACTGCACATGTACGGCGGAGGACTTTGAGTGGTGAGTCGTCGTGGGTATAATACCACCCAGTTAGAACTTAATGAGCACGAAAAACAGCGAATTTAATTATGTCCGCAACGGGGAAGGAGAATGTGTCCTTGTTCCGGGGATGAATTCACGACCGTCCGATGATTCATGTCGCAATGGAGAAGACTATTGGTATGACCGCACGGCGTACCGCAAGGTCTACTACTCCACTTGCGAGGGCGGCGACCGCATAGACCGAGGCACGCAACATCTGTGCCCTGGCATTAACGGCCACAGCGCGATGTTCTGGATGGTGGTGATTTTGTTCCCCTTTGTGATCACAGCGCTTGTCGCATGGTGGTGGTACAGCAAGAGTGGAATGGCGAGAGGGCAAGTCACATTCACTCTGTGTGCGTTCTATGCTTATCGTTGATGCACAGGACGATTCGTTTACCCGGAGGCGACTATTCGCATGGGTCAGGGTCTGGTGTGTTGGCTACGCTGGCATCTGTACCATGGTTCCTGCTCGGGCTTTCAGGCATCGCGTTTGAATATATAGCGTCAAGCCTGGAATCTGTATCGATGGGCTACCGCGCGAGGCGTGGATATAGGGATGTACCTGTAGACGAGGATGCACAGGTCCTACATTTTGAGGATGAGGAATGAGTAGGACAGAGATCATACTTAGACGCGACAGCCTCGATTATATATTAATAGCGCGCACTTGGTATACTGTCTCTGTATGTAGTTATGGCCAATTGCTTTCCTATGTATGCTGGTTTTTATTCTTTTGTTGGGTATCATGTTGTGAGATGGCTTCGTCCAATCGCATTTAATTTAGAGCGTGAATTGGACTAGGAGAATGACATTAGTACTTTGCAGTAAATAACACAGCGAATACAATGATAGCAGGTATACATAGGGTGATCGTCCAAAATCGATCTTTTGACTAGTCTATAACACCAAGATGGTCTTCCTTGATCGTTCCGATCGCAAACTGACCTTGTTAGCAAGTATAGTTGTACCAAAATAAAAGACTCACGATTTCGGTAGCGTCAACGCGCGTTCCAACAATTTTTAGTCGCACACGCGTATTTTTTTCAATGATCTGTTCGAGACAAGGTAGGGACATTAGGGGGACGATACATGGATGGACGATACCTGGTCCTCTGATGCAAAAGATGGTGGATTCGAGGTCGGATCAAATTTCATGTCTGGATGTATCAGCTAGGAATGCCGCGAGAGATGTTGAGTGAGGAAGAACGAAGTAGCATTGAAACTCACCTGGTGTGACACGAAAACTGTTAACGGCCCAACGTCAGCAAAGAAGCCCATCTACGCGTTGTTCAGTACGCAGTAATGGAACATAACAGGGCATGTAGCACCTTGTTGACGTTGTTCACGACCCCATCGACGACTTCTCCCTTGAATGGCTTGAAGACTATTGCGCGATAGCGGGTGATGAATTCGGCTTGGCCACTTCCGCTCAGTACCATGCCTTTTCCGATATCCAGGATGGAGACGACAGCGATGATGTATCCGAATGCGCCTGAACATGTTCCCTCTACATCTGAGTAGAGTTTTGACTCGAGGAACTGGAGCATCCGAGGGCCAAAGTATGACGGATGGAGTAGAATTGTGTGCGTCAATTCTTTCTGAGGGTTTAAATTTGGTTACGAAGGAACGAAGGGTGATGCAGCTCTCGGATAGAGGTACTCACAATGAAGAACATGTTGGCTCGGTTAATACGAGCGATCGTGTTGATGAATCACAGAGCCCAAGTTGTTCGCGGGAGATGACATAATACAGTCGTGCTTGGATGACTTGCGATATGAGCTCGATATGGCTCTGGGAGTCCGGGTATTCTGAACTTAATATTAATGCGATTACTTGTTGCTACTCAAGACTAGCTAGTAGCACTGCAAGTGAGGATCCCGTCCAAGTGGTACTATGATCTGACTGTGATACTCGCGCTCACTCTGCTCACCTCTGGACAGTGGAGACTTCACACGCCGATTTGGTTCTAAACAAATAACCATACTAGACAGAGTTCAAGAAGTTTGTTGTAAATTAATCTACATACCACAGGAAATTGTCGTCGTAAACGGCCTACGACGGAATAGAGTAGACAACGAACCTGGTATGATGCACGTCAGGGCTCGCAGAGTGATTCAAGTTCTGGTCATTCTTGAAACCCATCTCTTTTAATTCAGATACAACAATATGCCTGATAGTTCGAGCTTCCATATAGCCATTGTCAGCGAACTTTCCGTGTATTTCTTGGGACAGTTCAAACACAGCACAGAAGTCCGCCAGGGTGTTCGAACTTCGCGTCATGAGATTACTCTACAGGGGTAGAGGGTAAGAAGATGCAGACAGCGGATTATGCAGATTTTACGCGTTCGCCGTTGATCTGGAATTGTGGGTGGGGACAGATAGCACCCGCATGGTCCTCTTCTCCGCGCTGCTACAGGGCCGGACAAGCATATTAACCACGTTTATTGACTTGAGTACATACTTTGGTCGAAGTAGGGTTTGAGACAGATTTCAAACCTTTGAGACCTTCAATGGAGTCTTCGACCTCATCAGATTTAGGCAAATGAGAATGATGTCGCGATGTTCATTTTCCCCGACGCTTATTGTTCAACCAATTCAGCGTGAAATGAGTTCGCCGTACGAACTTCACAATGATACAGTCATCAGAGGCCATCAGGCTTGAGGGTGCAACTGCAGAGCCTCCATGGTGGCAGGGTTAAACATTGCCACTGTGCCAAAGGAAGGTTAATTGGAATCAGCAGCGTTCGCACCAGGCATACCTGTAGCAATCTCGTTGGCAGTCAGACTATTTGGCCTCCGGTAGATGGATGTCAGATGTGTTACCAAGCGAGGGCATTGGGGGTCCTCGGATTTAACATACGAAATCTTTCTCCGCAGAGTAACGGTAGAAGTATGAGGACCTGGCTGCGGGGACACCATTGGGGTCGGCCATTAATTTGGATCAGCCATCATGATGGTCTACCGTGGATGCAAGGAAAGAGGTTGAGTTCAAGTTAGTACGACAATGTCACCGTGCTGTTGAGATGTACATTCTATTAATCAGGTCTACTGTCTCCGCGACGTGCGATTCGGGTCGTCCTGTGGTAGTAATTGGTTCGATAGCCTTCAAAAAAAATATCCACGGAGTCCGGACACAGAACCAAGTTGCAATCGAACAAAAATGAACAAAATAATTGGCCAACGTGGGGATCGAACCCAAGACCTTCGCGTATCAAGTCCGACGGTAAGGGCGTGAAGTACTGAGCACGCGCTTACCAGCGAACCCGTATTAGCACGACGCTCTAACCAACTGAGCTAGTCGGCCTTGTTGGTGTGGCTCAGCAAAGATTTTGAAGAGGGTGAAACAACGGAAAGGATTTTCCGTTGTCAAGAAGTTCGTAATTTACAGCAGCTATATGTCATAGTATGCAAGCAACCCTTTGACTCAGATCAGCAAGTCGTGACAGCTGCTGTAACCTGACATATAAATTTGTGAACAAAGAACGTCCGCGCTGCCATAATATACATGTGATCTTGTCGCACTGCTGTTCAATGTTGAGCACATATTACTCTATTTGCTCAAGCTCCAGTACTTAACTGCTAGTGCAAGCTTGCAATGGACAAGTACTTGCAAGGCTTTGAACAATATTGTCACTATGCAGTTGACGTCGATGGATATTCATATTGTGCAGATCTCACTTTCGCTGGCAGGGTAACAATGTGGCAGTGCTCTAGCGAAATGAAAATTGACGTCCCTTGTATCCTTATCGAGACGTTCAAATTTGGTTTGGTTCAACTTGTTCTTTGACCAACATCTTCAATTGAAGTAGCCTTCAGACAGGTCTTCACGATTTCAACGATGGTCACCTATTCTGCTTTCTTTTCTTCTGGCCTTCTTGCGCCTTACCATCCCAGAGCAACAACTCCTGTACCACCCTCACCGATGCTGATGCCATCCAGCCCTATGCACCCTGTCGATCGTGATCTCAGCGTGACACCCACACCCGGTGGCAACTCAAATAACGCCGTTGCAGTACCCACCGCGAATGCTGACCGTCCTCGCATGCGCAGGCGTCGCAGTAGCATGAACATTGCCGCGAACCCGATGGCTCTTATCAAATCCCCGACGCGAAATGCGGGCAGCGCGCTTCAGCGCACCGGCGTCATGTCTCCCACCCGGAGTCGTGCAGGCAGCGTCGCTGAGAGCGCTTCAGAAGCCAACAGTCTTTTTGGAAGACTGAGAAGTGGCAGTTTGAACGCAGGCGCTCCACTACGGTGAGTGGCTCCCATGCCCATACTTGGACTCCTTCTGAAACCCATGCGGTGCAGTCTGCGTCGTGCAGTCAAGCGAACTGTCCCACTTGCTCCGCCCCCTACTGCCCCTCTCCCTGCACTCCCACCGCCATCTCCATCTGCAAAATACACGCGTACTCTCGCGCCTCCTGCGCTCATCATACCTGTTCCTCGCCAGCCCCTCATGAATTATTTCGTGTCCAGTCCTAACACTCCCGCTGGACTACTCAGCCCTGATTCTGTAATGCAGTTCACATCCAATATGTCGTCTGGTATCTCCTCCAGCCCTGCTCATAAGTGTTATTTTGGAAGCACTATCGATGAAGAGATGAAAGAAAACTGAACGCGCTTCGATGAGCGCTACTTGTTTGGACTTTGCTGCGCCTGGTTGCGCACTTGCTCTCGTGCATAAATATTCCCGTTACCTATTTACTGTTCCAGATTAATTCCCTGCTGCATTTGTTACCAACATCCCACTCATAACCATCCAGTTTTACACCGTGTCTCTATGTCCTCGTGTCTCTGCATCTTTCAAGCCCTCTCCGTTACTGCTCTTGCTCTTTGAAAATGGGTATGCTCGTTCTCGACGTTCTATCCATGTTTTGTATGTTGCTTTAGTACCTATGTTATTTTTCTGGGCATTTGACGTGAATAGACAACCGTGGTTGCAAATACACGACGCGTCATCAGTTTGTCACGTGGTCAAAATAACTCTAAATGAACCCGCGCGGCGCGAGCGACCAAACTCAAAGTCGACGTACGAGCGTTAATTAATATGGGCATCGGGCGAGTGTGTATACGCTTCCTGACGCTTACCATCAAGAATTATCAACAACGTTACTCAAAAACCTGCTGACCTTAGACTTTCTAGTCACCTCAATCGGTGCACCCACAATGGCATAGCAAGTACGTATACGTCTACGAGTACGGTACGTGATACTCACCAAGATCCTACTAAAACTCGGAAATTGCGCTGACACATCCTGCTTCAGAATGCTTTGTTCTTGCCATTTCTCCTGACCTTGCGACTAAAGCAGTTTGACGAGGGGTGTTTCTGATGAGTAATGTGATTCTTACCACGTGTTTTGAAAGTTGATGTGGCTATAACACATCTATCAGTTGGGCGACAGAGCGCAACCTGGATCATTCGAGCAGAGCTCATCAATGGTGACCGGTGACATACGAGGAGTCTCGAAACTGATATCGATGCTATGTATAAGACATGACTGAGATCCCTCACTGAACTGGTTAGGTCGAGAATGTACGAGACAGATTGGTGCGATAGCCACAGGCTCACAGCATACCCGTGTTTCATGGCCATTGTGTTGCTATAACAGATACTGCGATCGACGCGATGCCTAGCATTTGACTGGGCGGCAATCTCCGAATTGCGGAACCGAGCGACCAAATCTACAATTCCTCGACCTACTCACGAATCTGTATTCGGCACTGAAACCCGTTGACATATGCTCACTTTGTCACCTCGGCTCGTTCAGCAGATCTGCCGTAGATGTTCTGGTACTCTACCTATGGTATCATGAATCACGGCGCCCACACAAATCAACGAACAGATCTTAGGTGGGTCCGCCGGTCCTGATTTACATATAAGTCAATCGCCGTTAATGACTAGATCTCCTAAGTTCATTGTCCTCATGTTTTAACATCTGATCATCTTGACCCTGACAATCTCTACCACTCACCACACGACTGATTCCAGAAAGGGGATGCAGAAGGGAAAAGCGTAAGGTGAGTAGTTTGTTATGTTCACAGCAGAGATCTTCTGATACGAAACAATTATAAAATAACATATTACGTATGAGAAAAGCCCTGTCGTTTGTACATCCTGCCTATGGAATAGCGCATTGAATTCGAGTCTCACATTTTTGTTAGCCACAAGAACGTAGGGAGACTCTGGCCTAGCACAGCACTGTTTCACCCTGCCTATGGAGGCGCAAATCAAACCTTGTTATCATTCGAGTAGGTGACAGGTGAGTCTACACCCTAGTTTCTTTCAACCTGACCGGCGGACCCGCCCTTCCAAAAGCACGCGATGGTCCGAGCGAACCACTATCAAGACTGACATAACTATAAAGACCAACATATTCTAGAGCAACTTGTCCTCATAACTCGATTCGCAGATTTTTCGTTCGCTCATCTCAACGTTCACGACACGAGTCCGACGACCTCCATGACTTCTACCGCAACCTGCACCATCACTTGTTCTGACTCCGAGCCCGCAGAGTTCATTATACCTGACTTCTTCAGCGATTGCCGCTACCCCATGCGACTAAACCCTCACTGTTATCCGGTATCTCGCGCTTCTGAACAATGGCTTTGTAGCGAAGCCCATCTAGTCGAGCCCGAGATTACCAAATATACCAGCTTGCGCGCAGGTTACTTCGCTTCAGCTTGCTATCCTGATGCGGATGCTTTCCATCTCAGAGTCTGCGCGGACTTCTTGAGCTGGTCGTTCAAATTAGACGACTGGCTTGAGATCGATAGGTTCGATGTTAATGATGCGTGGGGAATACGTGATTGCTGTATGTCTGCGTTCCGCGATCCCGTCAACTTCCAGACGGAAAGATTTAGCGGAAAGATGTGCAAATCGTGCGTATATTTTCTCCATCACACACACATTACAACCGCCTTACGATCTTTAGATTTTTCGGTCGCTTTAAGGAGACTGGAGGCCCTGGCTGCACGGGGCGCTTTATTCACGCCATGGACTTGTGGTTCATCTCTGCGGCTAAGGAAGTGGACAACCGCGCCAAGGGACGTGTCAATGGTGTTGAATCCTACATCGAATTGAGGCGCGACTTGAGCGGCTGCAAGTCTTGCTTTGCCCTCATCGAATTCGTGTGTCGGATTGATCTCCCCGACGAAGTAGTCTCGCATCCCGTCATCATGGCCCTGGAGGAGGCTACCAATGATTTCGTTTCTTGGTCCAATGTAATACCCCATTCTGTCATCGAAGCTGGGGCGCTGCTGATGTCGCTGCTGACAGGATATTTTCTCCTATAATATGGAGCAATCTCACCATAGCACACATAATTTGGTTGCTGTGCTCATGGTCGAACAAGGTCTAGACCTGCAAGGTGCTGTTGACTACTGCGGCAGGCTATGCAACATTTCCCTCCAGCGCTTTGAAGAAAACCGTGCTATCCTCCCCTCGTGGGGTGAAGAGGTTGACAAGGAGGTGGCTATCTACGTCCGGGGACTGCAGAGCTGGATTACCGGTTCGCTGCACTGGTCCTTCGAGTCCGCCCGCTATTTCGGGAAGGATGCGCATATTGTCAAGCGGGACAGAACCGTCAAGCTGGTTCCCAAGCGGCCCTTGTGAAGAAGCCTACAGCTATTGTTTTATGTGAGACTATTTCGCTTTTTTCCTGCATTGCATAAATCTCATTGCGACAACTGGCATCATAGAAAGTTACATCGTTATCTATGTCTTACTATGAAGCCGGATTTTTTTACGATTGAATATGCGTAACCAATTAGACTAAGTAGGAAAACCGTATCCTCGGCGATTTCCTGATTTTTTGACCTTCACTGCTGTGTGCCTGTATGTGGAATAGTACCAGTCTCCCCTAGTCAGACTATAACAGGAGGAAGACCGTTCCTTCTGTATAGAATAGTACATATGATACCTATATCGTAGCGGCGTGTGGCACCCGTCCCCGACGCTCCGTTTGCCATCCTCTTGTGAGTATGTACCATTTTTGTACAAGTCGTGAAAACAATGAATCGTGTACATTCGGTGTATAAACGAGTTTGTGCACATGGGCGTGCGGGTGCTAAAAGGACTCACAAAATTACGATACACAAGAATGACTTTACTTACTACTCTAGCTAGCACGGTCCGTTAGTGGTGTTTCAGACAGGTGATCACTGTCAGAGGTTGCCGAATGGCGCTATGAAAAATCAAGCATGTGGCACGAACGTATCCGGTTCAGCACTACGCAGTTTATGATCATCAAATAAACTCGATCCGGGATGTATGTTAGCGTGTCCTTATAACCAATCAAGGACAAT